CCCTCTCTTAGGGCCGACCCCGAGGGGGTGGGCGGGCCCCGCCCCCCCCCCCCGCCCCGTTGGTTGCTCCATCCCAGCGCCAGGACGGCAGCTAAAGCAGGGCAGGGCACGGAGCAGAGGCACAGCCCTCGCTGTGTAAGACAAACACATTGCTGTAGGCTAGAGCTTACCCAGCATCAAACAAGCAAGCATGTAGTAAATATTCTCCCTGAGAAACAAGCCAAAGCTTTACTTAAAGCCAAGCTTGTAATTTCTCAAGTGAAGTTATCAAAAGCCATTTGTTCTTGTTGCTCCCCGTGGTGCTGCCTGGCCGCCCTCTCTGCTCACGGGCGATGCGCAGGACAGCTGCCCACCTACGCTGTACTGCCCCTTGAATCCTGACCACAAAGCGTAACGATGCCCCGTAATTAAGTAGTGAGTGTCAAACTGCCACAAATGGTTTTGCAATTGCCGGTGGCCCAGGCTCAGCACATACTCCCAGAAGGCAGACAGAACATTTCATGCACTAATTGATCTGGATTTCAAAGCTTTGCTGAAATGCAAACACACATGAAAAAAAGTTTGTTTTCACTATTCTATCCATAAAACTTCTGTGCAGCGTGTTTTAATACAGAAGCTTCCACAACAACAATTATTTGCAGCAAATAATAATTCATATGCAAGTATTTCTCTTAGTGTCATGCTAGACTGAAGGGATGGAGAAGCAGACAGGGTTTGGTCTCTTGTCCAGCAGCATCTCCGCACCCTCGCTTCGCGCTCTGCAGCTGCAGGTCGTGGCCCAGGGCTGTGGTCCAGGAGATGCTGCGGTCCCTCCCACAGGAGCAGGGCGTGATGCTGGGGGTCCTGGAGGGCAGGGGGCTGTCCCTGAGCTGCTCGCTGAGCCTCGATGGGCTTCTCTTCTCCTAAAGCTGATGGATTTGTGATGGAGTAAGGAGCAGCCTGGCACGCCTCTGTCTGCAGCGAGCATCCCCAACAGCCAGCTCTGCCATGGGGCCCCGCTGCACTGCGCAGGTCCCGGGGTGTCCGTGTGCCCAAGGGCAGGGCACGCTGCAGGAGCCAGGGAAACCTGCGCAGAGGGATGGTTGTGTAAGGGCTGGTTGGGGCAGCTGTAGGGACTTAGATCTCCTTCCGGAGAGCAACTCTGATGTTGCTGCAGATCTTAGAGAGTGCCTCAAAGAGCGGGTCACAGAAGGTGTGGATGCAGAGGGAGTAGATTCGGCTGACGCACTGGATCTCTATCAGGTAGCTCTTGATGCAGGGCACCACTGCCCAGATGTGGCAGAAGGAGATGAGGGCAAAGATGAAGCCCCAGATGACTGCCAGGGGGATGCCCAGGATGGCAGAGAGCAGCCGGTAGCACCAGTACTTGCTGACAGTGAAGGTGGTGTAGCTGGCTTTCCAGACGCCGTCAAAGCTGTATGTTCCCACAGGCTCAGCTATCACATCCTCAAAATCCACCTGGGAGGAGAGAAGACAGACATAAGGGGGGCTTGGGGGGGTTAACAAGGGCTCCAGTGCAAGAACAGGGATCTGCTGCAACGTGAGAGGAAAGCCTGAATGCAGAGGGCTGGGGAGAGCAAGGGCCGTGCTGGGGGGGACGGATCCCCTGCATCCCCCCAAGCAAGGACAAGCCCTGGTGCAGCAGGAGAGTCCCTGCCCTTGCAGAGGTCCAAGTGGGAGATGGCGTAGGGCTCCCAGCACTGCCTGGCCTCAGCCCATGGGCAGCACGGCGCGCAGGCTTAACCCACGGCACGGGACGCCAGGCTTGGCTGCTCCGGGACACATTCCCCGGTCTCAAACCCCAAACTGTGGATGGTGCTTCCAGGTGCCAGGGCCAGGCATGAGCCCTTGGAACAGGAGCTGTGTGTGGGAGTGTTTACTCCGGAGGAGGCCAGAGCCCATTCCTACCCTTTTTTAGCATTCAGGGACATGGGCTGCCTGCTCGGCAAGAATGTGGTTTGTGCTAATAAAAATCCAACAGCCCTCTTGATTTGTGATTTATTTATTTATATATGTAGAGACGAGGTGCTCAATTCTGTCTGTCTGCCTTCTGTCTGAAGAGCGAGAGAGATTGGCTCGGCCATGCCCTTACAGGGGTAGTGCTGTTATGTGCAGGCATTGTCTCTGAATGACAAATACTCTTAAAAGCCTCTGAACTACACATAGAGATCACATTGTGGTGTAACTCATTTCTAGGGAATACGTGAGCCAAGTTGTTTGTCTTGAAAAATAGCATGGCCTTTCCTTGGGAAGCTAATGTCTCTGTTTGTACATTTATGTTAAATTGCAATATCCATTTTGCAAGCACTTTGATCATAAAATCATTCTGCATCATCTTTAATTTCCTGGAGCGGGCAGGAGGTATTGGGAGAAATACTGTTGCGGATTAGGAATCAGCAGCCAGGTTAGCTGGTCCTGGAGCGCCTGTCAGCAGCTCCCGGGAAAGCCCTGCTGCCCAGGTGGGCTGGGAGCCCAGCAGCGGGTCCCTGCACAGCTGCCTGAGTGCCTGATGAGCTCATCAGGGGAGCAATTAATGAAGGGAGCAGCAGGCTATAAGAGAAGAGTCTCTGCCTTGTTGTTTCTTTGCTAACTGTTCACCAGAAGTGGGTCTGGAGGAGTGTTGGAGGCAGAAGCTGAATCCTGAGCTAAGCCTGGGCACGGCCCCGAAGCGTTCAGGGATCAGCAAATGCAGGTACTGCTCAATTGCTCTGTTGCATGCCTGGGAGGAGGCTTTTGAAGCTCTGCAAAGCTCCCGTGGCTAGTGCCACTGCTGTAACTGTAATGTGGTCTCAAATTCTGGCTGTTGCACTGTCATGCTCAGCATGGGTTTATCTATGGCCACGTGAACCTTCAGCCTGCAAAACACTCTGCTTCCCTGCTTCCCTCCACTGGATGCCTCTCTACTTGCTGTGCTTTAAGAGCATTACGTGCTTTAATGCCCAGGGTGTTTTTGAGTGTGTTGCTGCCCACTGGAGAGTGGGGAGGCTTTGGGACGCTGTCGAGCAGCAGCAGGGTGAGTTGTGCTCCCTGTCCTGGGGTTGGCTCTGCCCTCCCTCCCCAGCCTTATCGGCCATGCTATTTTTAAGGTGGGAGGAATGCTTTAGCAAATGCTCTGAAAACTTCCAAAGCTGATGAAGCAGCAGTGTGGCCATGTAAGTGGGTGAGCTTGAAAAGCCTCTTACAGGCTTTTGGGGATCCCTGAGTGGGAAAAGGCAGGGGAGGGGTGGGGGAATGGACCTGGTGTGAGAGGTTATGGATGGCCTGGAAGGCGCTGGCATTACCTCCCAGTAGTAGCTGGCAACATCTCCAAGCTGGGGAGCAGGTAGGTGTGTGCTGGAGTGCTGCCTGGCACTGGGGTGAGCGGGCTGAAGGCTGCCCTGGTCCTCGCCGCCCCGGCAGCGTGGCCGATGGCAGGGTGGTGCTGCCCAGAGCACAGCGCCTTTCCAAGCCCTGGGCCAAGGCTGTTGAGACGTGCTGGCACAGTGCAGCACAGATGTGGGACGTGCTGCTGGGAACACGCTCGAGATACCGTGGCAGCTGTCACGGGCATGTCTCGCTGTGCCGGAAGGGTGCCCATCTACGGCTGTTACTGTCACAGCCCATCTGGGGGGCTTTTAATTTGACCATGCCATGGTTTTAGCTGTAATAGTGTTTTAATGAAAAAATGCAGGCTTGCATTTCACCAGTGTGATCAAGGTCATGGCCCATTACAAAGCCTTTGTGAGCAAGCTTGGTGCATGCTGTCCCTTCTGGCACGTCATCCACTTTGATGTCTCAAACACAGTTTTAACAAAACCCTCCCATCTCCTCCTGTTCTCCTTTGGGCCAAAATTGTCTTTAGCATAATGCTAACAAAGCTTAGAGCAACCACGTTTCAGTGGTCAGCATTCAGGAAAACGTTTCCCTGTTCAGCTAGACTGAGAACTCCTCTTGATCAAAAATAGACGGAGGAGGCTTGCTTCACCCTCCTGCTGCTGTGTGGGAGAAACAATCTTCTTCCAAACAGGACAACACTTATCTAAATGCTCTGGTGCTCAGATTGTCAGGTCTTGAAGATTAGTAATCTTTTTCCAAGGTTCCCTTTAAATCAGTGATATGGGCTTGACCCCGTTTTATTTTTGGCTCCCCACTTACTAGTACAAAGGAGGGCATAAATTTTCAAGCTGCAGCCCATGAAGTTGGAGAGTGCATTCAAGGAATGGGAAATATTGCATTAATTGGAGCCATGTACACCACACAGCCACCCAGCCGGCGTCTGGATGCCCCTGGCAGCAGGGTTGGGGTTTGTAGTGGGTTAGCTCCCTGCAGCCTGAGGTAATGCCACCTCTTGAGGCACATATATCAGGGACTTACAGCCCTGGCTGAGGTCAAGCCAAATACAGAATGACAATACCGATATACTGATTGCATTAAGGAGGCAGTGATGCTTTTAAAACACAGCGCTGAGAAAGTCCTACCTTTACAACGTCCTCATTTATGTGCTTTGGGTCTCTGTTCACGAGGTCGATCTCCTTGGTGTGCTGGTCCTTGATGATGATCCTCTCCTCCAGCTCGGTCTGTTCCTCTGCCATGGCTGCTCGGCCGCCGGCTTGGCTCCGGATGGTCACAGAGCAGGGAATCGGGGTTCTGCTGGGGGAGGACCTGGGGGAGGGCAGGGTGTGGAGGCACTGGCCCCCCCGCCGCCCGCAGCAGCTGCCCTGCAGCCCTGCGACCCTGGCAGTGCTCCAGGCTAAAATTAATGTTGTGCCTCCCGTGGCCGCCCTGAAGTGTCCCTTAAAGGGGCTTTGCTGGGGACAGCCACTGTGGTGTCACCTCTGGGGGGGGCACGTGTGGGTGGCTGGTGGCCCTTGAGCCAGGGCAAGGGTAGCACAGGGGTGGGAGAGCAGCCCCTCAGCCCAGCTGTGCAGGTGGGATTTTCTCCTTATGTGGGGAGACAGTGTGGGAGAAACAATGCCCAAACTGGGGCAAAAGTCCTCAAAAGTGTGAGAGAAATAGTTGTTTACGATGAAAATTGTTGTTGATGAATCTGTAAATGAAGTGGCTCAGGGGAGACAGGAATCGTGTCTATAAATATCACCCAGAGAAGCCACATTGTCCTGGGACAGCCAGTGAGCCTCAGGGTCCCTCCGGGAGCCCAGAAGGCGGCTCACAGTATCAGCTTCGATTCCTTTGATTCCAGCTTTTTCATACAGAGAAACTCAAGGAAATCCAACAGACCAACCCACAGATCTGTAATGATTGGGATATCTCCTCCATGAACACTGGGCACAGTGACATTTAGCATATTAATGAAGATTTATTTAACTTGTGCTCTATTTTGATAATCCTCATCAATCTCTTCAGTGCTCTCTTGATTTTCGTGAACTGAAGATTTGTTTAAAACTAATGGTTTTGTGGAGGAAAAAAAACCCCAACAACCAAACCACCCACCCAAAGCTTCTGTCAAATCAATTGTTTATAGACACTTTCATTTGAAGCAGTATTGGGATAATCGACCTCTGTTCTCCTTTGGTAAAGGCCTCCTTGTCCTTTGGTAAAGGCTACCTTACAGCTGCCCTAAAGTCTCTCCATGCAGTGCTGGGGATGCCCTTGACAACTGGCTGTGCTGTGAGGGTGACCGTGGCTGTGATTTACCCGCAGTGAGCCCCATGTGCCAGTACTGCACACTGCAGCATTTGGAGGCAAAGCCTCTCTAGGGAGCGACTGCATATGAACCCCCATTAATGTTAAGTCTTCATGAGATGCATGTCTCTGAGCTGTTCTTGAGTGCTGTTTCTCTATCTTCTTTCATGTGTGAAATGGCAAAGATGTGTGGTACCTCTAGCCAGGAAGGGCTTTGGGTTTTGTTGTTGAGATGAGACATTGCCTCTGGCAAAGGCTGGTAGTGACGCCTGCATCACTTTGCAGGAGAGGCGCAGGTGGGGATGCTCCCCTCTGCCTGGAGCGGAGCAGGCAGGACCACCAGAATGAGCCTTGCTGATGGCCCATGGGCAGCATCCAATCTGGTGGTGCTGTGGGTGCGTGCTTTTCCCTTCCTTCATGCAGGCAGCCCATCTGCACCCCTTTTGTGCTGATACAATGCAGCAAACATGAGAAGGGGTAGAGAGGGGAGGATGCGTGGCTCATTAAGGAGGAGGGATCAGTGCCCCGGCGGTGTCTGCACAGCTGCTGGGCATGGAAGTGGCCACTTCAGAGCTATTGCACTCGGCTGGCATGGGAGGAGAAGGTATTTTAACTGCAAAAGGCTGCTGCCTTCCAAAAACATCAGTGCCTGTGCAGTGCTGTCTTTATCAAACCCACGTGGCTTGGTGCCTGGAGCTTTCAGTGCTGCAATGCTTTTGTTCCAGCCCTTTGAGTTGATATAATACAGTGCAAAATTGGATTGTGTTCTTTTATTTGGCTGAGGCATAGCAGGTCTCTCAGGTGTATTAATTTCTCCAGAGAAGTTGTGATGGTGGGGGCCTGGCTGAGTGTTACTGCAGGTCGAAGGCTGCCAGACTCCTCTAATGCCTTCTGCTGCCCATGGTGTTTTTTCAGTATTTTTTCTGGAGTCAGGGTGGTACCTTAGTATGGAAACTGTTTTTCTTGGGATTTCTACTCTAGGGAAAGCAGATGTGATGCCCTGGGGTGTGACACATCCCTGGCTAAAACTGTGATGACTGCAGTTTGTCAGAGACCTCCCTGACTCCTCCTGTAGGGACAGAAAGGGCCAAACTGGGGGTGGAAAGTAACCATGGAAAACCATGGGGTTTTGCAAAAGTAAAGGAGGCACTTATGGAGAAGGGACAAATTCTGTAAAGGTTCGAGTGTGGGGTTGTGGGTTTAAATCTTGGCAGGTTGCTATTGGAGAGGAGCACCCATCAGCAGCCCTGTCCTGGCTGCGTTCCTCCAGGTGAAAGGACACTGGAAAACCCTTCAGTAGCACTAGTTCCATGTCCCTGGATCTCTCACTGGTGGGGTGGCTTTGCTGCAGGGTTAGTGGAGCAGCACAGCATCAGGCACAGCTGCAGCATTAAAATGCATGTGGGAGGCAGTGAGCTACTGCCTGTGGTAAAATGAGCCCAGAGCTGGTCAGGTATGGGAGTACCAGAGCCTGGCTTGAGACAAGCTGCCTGCTGGTCTCTGCCCTTCGGCGGGGCTTTTGGACCTGTGCTCGGTCGGTGACCTGGCCGTCTGCCTGCGGTGCCAGTACCGGCTCCTCCTCAGCAGCAGCAGCTGGAAGAGCCCAAACCCAGCATGGGCTGGCTTTGCAAGTAAAAAATCCTCCATGCTCCAAAGCTTTGGGCACCAGCTATAAGGTCAGATCTGCTCTGTCATGGCTGAATTCCTCTCTAGCAAAGTTTTGTAGCACCACTGCTGTGATGGCTGAGCACTTCAAGATAGATTGTGAAGGGTGTTTTTGCAAAATAAGCTGTTTTTCCCTTACTCTGAGCTGAAGGAACACATTGCTGGTGTGAGCGGGGCTGTGAGTGGAGGTGGCGTGCGTAACCACTGTCTGATGGAAGAGCAATGCTCGCTTGGCTGGGAACCAGTGCCGAATTTAGGAGGCACAGCTGCTCCTGGCAGTGCTGTCCTCTGACAGACGGAGGAGTGCGACACGAGGTATTTGCTCTGCTGCATTTTCCTCGATCCATCCCATGTAGAAGGCTTTACATCGGGAAGGCAGGGGTTTGGTGACCTGCCCTCCCTGTGGTCTGGGGGATCTCGGCTGGCTGCCCTGAGCCCCAGGGTTGTGCAGGGGATGGCAGCATGGCTGTGGGGCACAGCATGTGCTCACCCCTGCTTTGCTGGGCCCTGCCCCACCTCTCGTATGGGATTTCTAACAGCGTGAGTCACTTGCTGTCTTTAGGCTTGGGCTGGGCTGGTCTGGTCCTTGCTGTCTGCACCCAGGCACGCGGCTTTGGTGTCCCAGGCGTGGGAGTAGGAAAATGTGAACCCGCATAGTGGTTAACGTGCAGTTAGTGTCTCAAGTAGCAATGAGAAAGAGGAGGAATATTCTTTTGCACTCTAGATGCTATAAATAAATCTATTTCTGAGTACTTTAAGACTGAATGGGACACCACGTAGAAGCTTCTGGTGTGCAGAGGCTACAGTGGACTAATAGTAATATTAGTTTTAGTAACTAATGACAGCAAGAAGTTTAATTGCTAAGTATAGGTAGTAAAACAATAGCAGTTTTAGCAAATATTAATGCTTCTCTGAGGATGGATATAGATGAGGTATGCATTGATAGAATTTCCTGGCCATGGCTTGTCTTGCGGATCTCCCAACCTGGCCATACAAGAGACTGAGCCTTTAATTTCTTGGCAGTGCCCTTCGCTAGTACCAGCTCACGCTTCAACTGCATGGCAATAAAGTCATTGTGCCTTTCAGTATAAAGTCCAGCTTTTGTATATCAAATGAATGCCTCCTTCCAAATCAGGAGCTTCTCCTTGTGGAGGTTTTCTTGCACCAGCCTGCCCAGGTTCCAGGCAAGTCCTAAGCTTCAGCTAGTCCTCTTGTCGTCTGAGTGCAGGTGCCCTCAGCCAGCCCCTGCCCATATGTCTGTCCAGCTCTGAGCATGGAGGAAGGGAATTCAGGCTTATGCAAAAGACTGAGCAGATCAAGTGTTCCTGCACGCATGGAGCGCACTTGGGTGTTTTAAAACCCAGCTCCCCACCTGGGTGCAAGAATCTGGGGTCTGCCCATTACTAGAGGATAGCTCCTACCCTGTAAATGTGGTATTGCTGGTGGCTACTGCACTGAGAAGCCTCTTTTGTTCAGCTCTTTGCTGCTGTCATGCTTTCTTTCCTGTTCTATGAGCAGCTCCTCTCAAAGATTTGTGCTGCAGCACTGACAGAGGAGGAGGTGCAACTTGGCTGCTGCTGGCGTCACCATTTTGGTCTGGAGCTTACTGAAGAAGCAGGGCTTGGGCACGCGGCTTGGTCCTCATCCTGAAACCTTCCCAAACTGTGAGGCATTGCTTAGGACATGGAGACTCCACTGCTTCTGTTTAGCTTGGAGTGTTTTTCCTACACTCCCTGTATGTCAAGTCTTTGAAGGCTTCTTTTCTCCCAGGAGAGGTGATCCATCAGGAGCAGGGCAGGGCTCAACAGTGGAAGCGCAGACGTGCCTGCTCCGTGCTGCTCAGGTCACTTGTTCTCTGCTGGACAGACCTTCTCCAAAATGGATGCCATGAAATGCTTGCTTTGCCCCTGATGCTTGGAGCAGGGTGCTGCTCCCTTCACTGCTCCTCTGTGTATCCCAGGTGTTAGAGCCAGGTGTTTGTGGGCACCTGCGGGAGTCAAAGCCCAGCTGCACCGAAATGCAAATCTTTCATTTTGAGAACATCTGTTAGGAAACCTTGTGACAAGTTTCCCCCCATCCTTGACCAGCCTTATATGTGATCTCAAGGTGAGTATTGTTTTTGGTAAATAGATTATCAAAACCTGGTCTGGCTGTGGGCTAGAAGGACTGGTGCTATGAACTTAGAAGCCTTCTAGAGGTCAGATAAATAACCTGCGGCTTGGTCCTAGCAAGTAAAATATATTTCTCTTGAGCAGAGAAGAATAAAGCAGAAATAAAACTTGCA